CTAGTTAATGGGCCAAACTGCTGGGTCACATTTTTATTAAAAGTATCCTTATTAAAGAGGAAATATCAAGTAACAAGTGAAGGAAATTAGTGATATGAAAAGGATATTCAGAAAACATTGCAACATGATAAAATATTTCTCAATGTTTACAAAACCAATAGCCAGATTCTGCAGACCTCTCATAGAACTCAGGGGTTTTGGTATCAACAGGAGGAATAGTGCCCCATTATTGGAGTCAGTGGGGGGGAATAGTGCCCCATCATTGGTGTCAGTGGGAGGAATAGTGCCCCATCATTGGTGTCAGTGGGAGGAATAGTGCCCCATCATTGGTGTCAGTGGGAGGAATAGTGCCCCATCATTGGTGTCAGTGGGAGGAATAGTGCCCCATCATTGGTGTCAGTGGGAGGAATAGTGCTCCATCATTGGTATCAGTGGGAGGAATAGTGCCCCATCATTGGTGTCAGTGGGAGGAATAGTGCCCCATCATTGGTGTCAGTGGGAGGAATAGTGCCCCATCATTGCTGTCAGTGGGAGGAATAGTGCCCCATCATTGGTGTCAGTGGGAGGAATAGTGCCCCATAGTGCCCCATCATTGGTGTCAGTGGGAGGAATAGTGTCCCATCATTGGCATCAGGAGAGAAATTGTAACCCATCATTAGTGTCAGGAGAGAAATTGTGCCCCATCATCGGTGGAAGGAATAGTCAGTGGGAGGAAATAGTGCCCCATTATTAGTGTCAGTGGGAGGAATAGTGCCCCATCATTGGTTCAGTGGGAGGAATAGTGTCCTATCATTAATATCAGTGGGAGGAATAGTGCCCCATTGTTGGTGTCAGTGGGAGAAGCAATGCCCTATCATTGGTGTTAGTGGAGGGAATAGTGCTCCAACGCTGGTGTCAGTGGAAGGAGATTTGCCTCATTGTTGGCATCAGTGGGAGTAATAGTGCCCCATTGTTGGTATCAGTGGGAGTGGTTGGTAGGAATAGTGCCCCATTGTTGGTGTCAGTGGAAGAAGCAATGCCCTATCATTGGTGTTAGTGGTGGGATTAGTGCTCCAACGCTGGTGTCAGTGGAAGGAAATTTGCCTCATTGTTGGCATCAGTGGGAGGAATAATGCCCCAAGGGCAGGATAAAGGCAAGCAAAGAGATGTACCTGTTCCCTGAGCTGCAGTTTAGAGACCACTGGTTTAGGGTTTAAATAGGAAGGAGGAGTGGAGAAGGAGAGTAGTGAGTATAGTGGGAATGTCACCTGAGCCCTCGTGGAAAAACTAGGGCTTCAGCCAAGATTAAGTGATTTTTCAGTAGATGAAGTTTCCTCTTTAGGGGAATGCTGCCTGGTCCTTAACTGATGGATCCCTCCAGAAAAGCTGGAGAACTTTGTTGGGAGAGCACTCTGTTATTGGGCAAGAGCATTGAGCCTGACCAGCCATATAAAATGGGACAATCGTAAAAATGGACTGTTATGTTACAACCCTGCATTCAGTAAAGGGGGGTTCTAGGAGGATGCAGACCCAGTCTCTTTATTCTAGCTGACCAAAAGGTGATCTATACCTGGGGAGTAAATACAGAGATTGGCTCAGTTAAGAAATTGGTGAAGGCCAGGATAAGGAGGGTCAGCCAGCCTGGTGGTGGACTTGGTGGTAAGTCTATCATCTGGACCATGTGCCTTGGGGGAGCTACATGCAGTACAATCAAACAGTCATGGGACACACTTGGCTGCATTTTTATTTAGATATTAGGCAGAATCATGATTATGGTGAAGTCAACCAGAAGTGTTTAAAAACTGATCTCCAACGCAAGCTGAATGCACTTGGAATCAAGCTGCAATTGCTCATAGACACAAGCCCACAGCTTGGAAAAACGGCCCCAAATATGTTAAATAACAATAGCTGTGGCCTATTTCAACTACTAGTAACAAACACAAAGACAGCACTTGTTCTCACACATTGGAACCAATACAGAGACAGTTTGTTCACTAGATAGTACTATGATCACCTGTCCAAGAAATACACTGATTGGATCTTGATTGTTACTGTATATATCATCCTGAACACAAACAATTAGACCAGCAAGGTCTAGTGTCATCATGATCACAAACCATTACCATAGAACCAGGGAGGTCTAGTGTCATCACAACCACAAACTATTACTATAGGACCAGAGACATTAAGTGTCATCATAGTCATAAACCATTAGTATAGGACCAGAGAGGTGTAGTGTCATCATGGTCACAAACCATTACCATAGGAACAGATAGGTCTAGTGCCATCCTGACCACCAACCATTACTAAAGGACCAGAAAGATCTAGTGCCATCACAACCACAAACCATTACTATAGGACCAAAGACATTGAGTTTCATCATGACCACAAACCATTACTGTAGGACCAGAGAGGTCTAGTGTCATTATGGTCACCAATCATTACTTTAGGGCCAGAGAGGTCTAGTGTCATCATGGTCACGAACCATTATTGTAGGACCAGAGAGGTCTAGTGTCATTATGGTCACCAATCATTACTATAGTGCCAGAGAGGTCTAGTGTCATCATGAACACCAACCATTACTAAAGGACCAGAGAGATCTAGTGCCATAACAACTACAAACCATTACTATAGGACCAAAGACATTGTGTGTCATCATCACCACAAACCATTACTGTAGGACTAGAGAGGTCTAGTGTCATCATGGTCACGAACCATTATTGTAGGATCAAAGAGGTCTAGTGTCATTATGGTCACCAACTATTACTGTAGGACCAGAGAGGTCTTGTGTCATCATAACCACCAACCATTACTAAAGGACCAGAGAGATCTAGTGCCATCACAACCGAAAACCATTACTATAGGACCAAAGACATTGAGTGTCATCATGACCACAAACCATTACTGTAGGACCAGAGAGGTCTAGTGTCATTATGGTCACCAATCATTACTATAGGGCCAGAGAGATCTAGTATCATCATGGTCACCAACTATTACTATAGGACCAGAGAGGTCTAATGTCATCGTGACCACCAACCATTACTAAAGGACCAGAGAGATCTAGTGCCATCACAACCACAAGCCATTACTATAGGACTAAAGACATTGAGTTTCATCATGACCAGAAACCATTACTGTAGGACCAGAGAGGTCTAGTGTCATCATGGTCATGAACCATTACTGTAGGACCAGAGAGGTCTAGTGTCATCATGGTCACCAACTATTACTATAGGACCAGAGAGGTCTAGTGTCATCATGGTCATCAACCGTTACTATAGGACCATTGATGCCTCCTGTTATCACGAGCCCATACCATTACTGTAGGACCAGAAAGGTTCAGTGTCATCATGATGAACAACCATATTGGACCAGAGAGGTCTCCTGTTATCACAACCACAAACCATTACAATAGGACCAGGGAGGTCTAGTGTCAATATGATCACAAACAACACCAAATGCTGAAAAAAATTACTGCTGCAGTTATAAAGTGATTATGAACTAGTTAATCGAAAGCCCTTTAGCTTTAATGAGTAAGGTACTATCCGTGTTTTTTTTCTTTCCTGTGCATTATTCCTGTTGCACCTGACAGTTTTAATGTCCCTGTCCGTTTTCCTGTTGGAGCATGACCACATTGTTACAAGCTTTTTGAAATTGAAAGAACATTTTCGTCCTTGGCCATGTTACGTGATCATGCAGCATCTTCCCCTGCATAGCTGCGTTGCCATTGGGGAGGAAGAGGATGGTCATGCTTTCATGGGTGCCTTACTCCCTATACTGCCCCTTTTTTCTGCTAGTTGACATTGTCTGCATCTTATCACTAGGATAACCAGCCTAGCAGCGAGGTGTTAGGTCAGCAAAAGCATCTTTGTTAATCTTTGCCAATGGCCATTACTGATCACTCGTTGTAAAAGAAGATAGTGGCCATGTGATCACAATTAAAAAGGGGAAAAAAAGATATTTAGAAGGTTTGCATCACTACTTTATTAACAAAGGAACTTCTACATACTTCTAAGTTATTTATTTTTTAATGAGGTTTACATCGGCTGCCTGGGACTTCCAATGGTACTCTCAGAATCCCTGCTAGGATTTCCACTGGTTGTCTTAGAATCTCTGCCAGAGCTTCCAAAGTTCTCAGTTATGATGATGGGCAAGTCCTTTAACCAGGAAGGGTACTTAAGCACCAGCCATTGAAGTGACTGGTGCTGAAACTTATTGCCAGCTTTATTATGCAAAGAGCTATAATACGTGCTTGTGAGATTGCCTGACTGTTTCTGACTTGGATTGGCTACACTGTTGCTTGTTGCCTACTTAGACCTCTGCTCAGACCTGACTATATCTCCTGCTGCCTGCCTGGACCAGACTATTCTCCTGCCTGCTGTCTAGTCTCCAGTCTGCACATTGTAGTTGTTCTGTTCCTGCTCTGACCTTGTGACAGTTTGCAGTGAAGTAAAACCAGGACCACTAGGGTCTCTGGCAAAACTCCATCTGCAGGAGCTCTGGGGAAGACTAACTGTTGCTTAGTCTCCGTGCCTTGGGTAAGTCCAAGGATTATTCTTCCCAATGACCACCAATGTAAGATACATTCTTCCCACCGATCATCAATGTAAGGGACATTCTTCCCACCGATCATCAATGTAAGGGACATTCTTCCCACTGATCATCAATGTAAAGGTCATTCTTCCCACTGACCACCAATATAATAAGTATTCTTCCAAATGATCACCAATGTAAGGAGCATTTTTCCCATTGACCACCAACATAAGGGACATTCTACCCGTAAGGGACATTCTTCCCCACTGACCCCCAATGTAAGGGACATTCTTCCCCACTGACCCCCAATGTAAGGGACATTCTTCCCACTGACCCCCAATGTAAGGGACATTCTTCCCCACTGACCCCCAATGTAAGGGAGATTCTTCCCCAATGTAAGGGACATTCTTCCCCACTGACCCCCAATGTAAGGGGCATTCTTCCCCACGGACCCCCAATGTAAGGGACATTCTTCCCCACTGACCCCAATGTAAGGGACATTCTTCCCAATGACCCCCAATGTAAAGGACATTCTTCCCACTGACCACCAATGTCAGGGACATTCTTCCCACTGACCACCAATGTAAGGGGCATTCTTCCCACTGATCACCAATGTAAGGGACATTCTTCCCACTGACCCCCAATGTAAGGGACATTCTTCCCACTGACCCCCAATGTAAGGGACATTCTTCCCACTGACCACCAATGTAAGGAGCATTCTTCCCACTGATCACCAATGTAAGGAGCATTCTTCCAACTGACCACCAATGTAAGGGACATTCTTCCCACTGACCACCAATGTAAGGGACATTCTTCCCACAGACCACCAATGTAAGTAACATTCTTCCCACAGACCACCAATGTAAGGAGCAATCTTCCCACAGACCACCAATGTAAGGGACATTCTTCCCACTGACCCCCAATGTAAGGGACATTCTTCCCACTGACCCCCAATGTAAGGGACATTCTTCCCACTGACCCCCAATGTAAGGGACATTCTTCCCACTGACCCCCAATGTAAGGAACATTCTTCCCACTGACCCCCAATGTAAGGGACATTCTTCCCACTGACCCCCAATGTAAGGAGCATTCTTCCCACTGACCACCAATGTAAGGGACATTCTTCCCACTGACCCCCAATGTAAGGGACATTCTTCCCACTGACCCCAATGTAAGGGACATTCTTCCCACTGATCACCAATGTAAGGGACATTCTTCCCACTGACCCCCAATGTAAGGGACATTCTTCCCACTGACCACCAATGTAAGGGACATTCTTCCCACTGACCACCAATGTAAGGAACATTCTTCCCACTGACCCCCAATGTAAGGAACATTCTTCCCACTGACCCCCAATGTAAGGGACTTTCTTCCCACTGACCACCAATGTAAGAAGCATTTTTCCAACTGATCACCAATGTAAACTCATGTAAACGGCTTTTCCCCAATTACCCCCCAATAGACTTATCTTAGCAGGTATTCCCTTAGACCTGCACATTGTTTCAAGGTTTCCTCCGTGGTGAAAAGGTGGAGAAAAGCTAAATTAAACAAAACTTAACTTTATTTCACAATTCTTTTGTTTAGGATACAAATGATTTTAGCAAAATTTCCACTAGATGTCCTTCTAGGTCTCCTTTCCATTGTTGAAGAACATTTCCATGGCAGCTGAGACCGCAGGAGGCAATCCAACAGTGAACAGCTTGTATTTGAGTAGCTTTTTTTTAAGATTATTTATTAAAAAAAAAAAAAAAAAAAAATCCCCCATTTTTTTAAGCACACACCATTCACCACGTTGTCATAGTGACGGCATTTTCTTTCCCCAAGAATACCTAAATATTAGCTCTTTGCTTTCAAATGCGGTCTCCAGATGTGACACGGAAACACTGACTACACAGTTTGAAGAATGACAATCATGATTGAAAAGGGAATTGGAGGCTGCGAGGTTTTAACCTTTCATGCAAATACCTAGCTGCTGTATCTCCTCATTTGTATTCATTATCATCTGTTTAAGGGTTTGGGAAAAGTAGAAAGAAGAGAGCTCTTAGAGATGTATTATTTACCGCTATGTAAACGGCAGCGGCACCATCGGTTTAATATTTGCCAAAATGTACGAGTGAGCCAAGAGGGATAAATAAAATATTTGTCCCGGTTTTACAGCTCAGATAAAAGGAAATTTTTTTTTAGAGCGGTGAATTCATTAGCATGTTAGTTAGCATGGATGAACAAATAAATGTAGAAATCAGGAGTCACTATTGGGGAAATAAGACAAAATTTAGGCCCTGGATTCAAAATTGACTATCTTCATTTACAAATTGGTGGTAGCTCTTGCCAACTTGACCATGGCTGCTTGGAGAACACAAAGTGGGGGGGAATGATGGATGGATAAGAACCTCCCAACTTGAGATATTTTGGATGAACAGAAAAAATAGAACACCAAAATTGGCTTTCTTCATGTAACATCTGATGGTAGCTCTTGCCAACTTGACCTTGGCTGCTTGGAGAACACAAAGTGGGGAATGATCCCACTGGATAAGAACTTCCCAATTTGAGACATTTTCCGTGAGCAGAAGAAATAGAACACCAAAATTGGCTTTTTTCGTGTAAAAACTGATGGTAGCTCTTGCCAAATTGACCTCAGCTGCTTGGAGAACACAAAGTGGGGGGAATGAGGCCTTGGAGAACACAAAGTGGGTGGGGGAAATGAGGCCAACAGATGAGAACTTCCCAACTTGAGGCATTTTGGGTGAACAGAAGAAATAGAACACCAAAATTGACTATCTTCATGTAAAAATTGATGGTAGCTCTTGCCAACTTGACCTCGGTTGCTTGAAGTACACAAAGTGAGAGGGATGATCCCACTGGATAAGAACCTCCCAACTTAAGACATTTTGTATAATAGAAGAAACAGAACACTAAAATTGACTATCTTCATGTAAAAACGGAAGGCAGCTCTTGCCAACTTGACCTCGGCTGCTTGGAGAACACAAAGTGGAGCAGGATGATCAAGTTGGGAAAACTTCCCAACTTGAGACATTTTGCATGAACAGAAGAAATAGAGAACCAAAATTGACTATCTTCATGTAAAAATTGATGGTAGGTAGCTGTTGCCAACTTGACCTCGGCTGCTTGGAGAACACAGAGTGAAGGGGGGGGGGGTTGATACACTGGATGAGAACTTCCCAACTTCAAAACATGAACAGAAGAAATAGAACACTAGAATTGGCTTTCTTCATGTAAAAATTGATGGTAGCTCTTGCAAACATGACCTCAACTGCTCGGAGAACACAAAGTGTTCTCGGAGGGGAATGATCCCACTAGATGAGAACTTCCCAACATTTTGGGTGAACAGAAAAAAGGGAACACCAAACTTGACTATCTTTATGTACAAATTGGTGGTAGCTCTTACCAACTTGACCTTCGCTGCTTGGAGAACACAAAGTGGGGGGATGATCTCACTGGATGAGAACTTCTCAACCTGAGACATTTTGGGTGAATAGAAGAAATAGAACACCAAAATTGGCTTTCTTCATATAAAAATTGTTGCCAGCTCTTGCCAACTTGCCTAGCTCCCAACTGTCACTCATTGAAAGGGACTGTCCCTCTTTTAAGACGAGATATCTCTGTCCCTCATGCAGCCTTCATTGTCCCTCTCTTTGGTCTGATGTGTACATTTCTATACAAAATGTTCTATTTTATTGCCAAAAGTGTTATGCTGCACTAAACGTTTTATCCAAACTCTATATTTTGGTATTTGTTATTTTGAAAAGCCAATATAAAGATAAAATAAAAGTCAGAAATTGACTTGTGTGGTTTAGCCAATCATTTTCTGAATATTAGATCAGAAGGAACAGAGCACCAAAATTGGCTACCTTCGTATGAAATTTGATGGTAGCTCTTAACAACTTGACCTCAGCCACACAGAGAACGCAAAGTGAGGGGGTGTTCCGACCACATGGGAACCTCCTACCGTGAGACATTTTGGGTGAACAGAAGAAACATAACACCAAAATTGGCTATCTTCATTTAAAAACTGATGGTAGCTCTTGGCAACTTGCCTAACTCCCAATCAGGGACGGACTGACCATTTGGAAACTTGGGCACTGCCCGAGGGCCTGGGGTCAGTAGGGGGCCCCATGAGATGCCCCTGTTACCTTTTTCATAGGCTTTTTTGAGTTTGGGCAAGGACACAGGGGCCTCATGATCCCCTATTGCCCGGGGGCCCCATGAGTTGTCAGTCCACCCCTGCTCCCAACTCTCCCTCATTTGGAGGGACTGTCCCTTTTATGGGTACAAATAATGTCAAAAAAGCAGTTGTGTAGTTTAACCAATCATTTTCTTCATATGGGTTCTTTGTGGTGTATGTATTCAAGGCTGTAGCAGGAGTATGTCCTTTGCCTACATATTGTGCGCTCTTTATCATTTCAGAAAGTTAGGAGGTATGCCAACTTGACCTTGACCACTAAGAGAACACAAAGTGGGGGGTGGGTGATGTTACTGGATGGGATCCTCTCAACTTGAGACATTTTGGGTGAACAGAAGCAATAGAGTGCCAAAATTGGCTGTCCTCATATAACAATTGATGGTAGCTCTTGACAGCTTACCTAACTTCCAACTCTCCCTCATTTGGAGGGACCGTCCCTCTATTAAGTACAAATAGAAGTCAAGAAAGCACTTGTGTGGTTTAGCCAATAATTTTCTTCATATTAGATCTTTGCGGTTTATGTAATTGAGGCCGTGGCAGGTCCTTTGCTTACATACTATGTGCTAAAAGGTGTCCCTCTTTATCATTTCAGAAAGTTGGGAGCTATGCCAACTTGATCTTGACCACTCAAAGAACACAAAGTGTGTGGGGGGGTGATCCCACTGGATGAGATCCTCCGAACTTGAGAAGTTTTGGGTGAACAGAAGCAATAGGGTGCCAAAATTGGCTGTCCTCATATAAAAATTGATGGTAGCTCTTGACAACTTCACCTCGGTTGCTTGGAGAACACAAAGTTGGGGGATGATCCCACTGGATGAGTACCTCCAAACTTGATAAGTTTTGGGTGACCATAAGAAATAGAGCACCAAAATTGGCTGTCCTCATATGAAAATTGATGGTAGCTCTTGCTAATAGTGATGGGCAAACATTTGAACCTAACAAAAGTTCAACCGTGGACTGCAAATAGAGGGGACAATTCACTAAGCGGTATCTTACTGCAACTGAGTATGTGGTCAGATACCACACAACTACTAAAAACAGCTACTAAAACATTCTTTAATGTTTCAGCTGTCAGTGGGGTTCCCTGCTGACAGCTGAATGTAAAAAGAATTGCCGACATTGCCAAGCCATTTTTGGGAACCCCCCCATCCATACCAAGGCCTTCGGGTCTGGAATGGATTTTGAGGAGAACTCCCATGCCAATTTTTTTTTTTTTAAATGCTGTGTGGGGCCCCCCCCTAAAATCCATACCAGACCCTTATCTGAGCATTTAGCCTGGCAGGTCAGGAAAGGGAGGGGAGGAGTGAGCGCCCCCACACCCTTCCTGAATCATACCAGGCTACATGCCCTCAACATGAATGGGTGCTTTGGGGTATGGTGCTGCCCGCAAAAGCACCTTGTCCCCATGTTGATGGGGACAAGGGCCTCTTCCCCACAACCATGGCCGGTGGTTGTGGGGGTCTGTGAGAGGGGGGCTTATTGGAATCTAGATTCCGCTCCCCCCATGTGAAAGAGTAGGGGGTACATGATACCGCTACTCATTCACACAAAAAAAGGTGAAGTGTAAATATGACAGGAGACAGTCTTTGACAAGTCCTTTATTAAAAACAAAAATGTAAAAAATGTCCCCCTAAGTAGATCCAACGTCAATCATGACGCCCGCTGCCACCACCAACCCGAAAAAAAAAAAAAACTCAACGCTGGATCCCGCCACCTGACTAGCTCCCAACGGTCACTCATTTGGGGGGACTGTCCTTCTGAGTCCAAGTCCCTTTGCCCTTCATGCATCCTCCATTGTCCCTCTTTTTGGTCTGATATGTACATCTCTAGACAAAATGTACTATTTTACTACCAAAAAAATGTTAAGCTGCACTAAACTTTTTATCCAAACTCTATATTGATGCATTTGTTACTTTGAAAAACCAATATAAAGATAAAATAGAGGTCGAAAAATGTGTGTGCTTGTGTGGTTTAGCCAATCATTTTCTTCATATTAGATCTTTGTGGTCCCTGTATCTGGTGCCATGGAAGGGACGTGTCCCT